GGGCTGTCATGGCCCCCGCAAGGCATACACTTCGATCACTACTTATAAATCAGTATCATTTGCCTGGACCCTACTGCGTTTGCAACCTCAGTGCAGTGTGATGTGAGTGCTACCAGTACCCAATGTTTCGTTGATGTTGGCTGAAGGGAATCCCACCGATGACGGAAAATGGATCGATGCCGCTGCCGTCATGGCCTTCGTGGTGGAGGTGGTGGCTGTTGCTCTTGCGGCCCCCTTTGCAGCAGCCTCGTGGTCGTCGTTGCCGTTGCCTTCATTACCATGACTGTTGTTGTTGCGGCTGGGCTGGTGCGTGTGCCACATAAAACTCGACACCAAAAAAATCCTACGTTTCATGAAAACATAGTCATTTATTGACCAGTATCAGTATCGGCTAAGTGTTGGTTTGAAAGCCTGACATTGCACATCTAAACCAAAACACACGGGCCGCCAAAATGGAAGAAACACAAGGGGGTTGAAAATTCGTCCACGTCCTCGTCGACACGTTGCTCATTGCATCGAGGCACATTGGGAACCAGTAATCAGGTGAACTTGCTGACCCTGTTTCAGAGCCAACCAAAGAGGTCGCATAACGCTCAAGCGGCGTTTTTGGTCGCGAGGAACGACCTCCATGTAAGGCACAGCCAGCGACACAGGGCATGGGCAGTTGGCTGCGCTGCGCGCTGCCCCGAAATCAAAATTAAATCGTGTGGGATCTGATACAAGTGCCTCGCCAACTCCTACCGAGTGGCGCCGGCAAAAATAACTCCTGTGGAGCACAGCTGCGGGAAAATACAGATACTGATACGTCCCCATCTGACCATGGCCCATGTGTGTGGAACAGCTTCAGAGTTGAGGGTATCACAAACACTTTGTTTCAGTCGCTCTTCATCGGCAATGATTCCCTATAATTTTCCATTCATTCCAGCACCAGGAAGGGGGATCTCTAGTGAACATGTTTCCCCAAACAATTTACGTTGGCGTTCTATCTTAAAGAACACCGGCCACACTGACTGGCCGCGCCCCTGAACTCTGTGGCCGGGCTCTGTGGCTGGGCTCTGTGTCCGGGTCTCGTCCTCCTCGTGTCCTTCTCTTGGCCGCGCCCATGCCCATGAACCTCCTGCTTCTAGTGGCCACGTTTGCGAACCCTGTGGGTCCTCCAGGTGTTCCCTGCTGTCCGCGTCCACAGTTGCAAACCCCGTGTCCTCCTTTTCTCCTTTGTCCAGGTCTGCCTGTCCTGCTTGTCGACGTTGTGGAACCTTTTATCACCACCTTATCCGGGCCTTGCCCCTGATTGGCCACGCCGTCTCCACAGCCTTGTCTGAGCTCACGACATACATCCGGTATCCCATCGTTTTTGCACATGTGACACAGGCATCAGGAGCTTGTGCGTTCAAAAGTTTATTGTTTAGGTGCAGTTCCCAAACAGCTGGAGGTTTTTGAAAAGTATACTTGCATTCGTTTCCACCAACATTGGAATTTCCGGACTTGATGCCGACGCCCCAAAAAGCTGACGCTGTTTGGGGTCTATGCTGGCATAATTATATATAACGTGCAAATGATTGAAAAAAAGGAACCTTGATGAACCTTGTGAAGTTTGAACTTCTATGTTAGTGATTTAGTTACAAGATATTTCAATTCCATAAATGTTTTAAATAGGTTTGCCTACTCCTGCTAGGCTAGGAAAATAAATTCCCTTCTTGTTCTGCTGTCAGCTGCCACCCTTTTCTAGGCACGCGGGCATGGTAGCAAGAAACGCCACCACATCCGAATAACAACCTTGCTGGCCGACCCGGATTGCTCCGGGAGGGATATCCGGCAGTCCTGCCTGCCAGGGATAACGCCAGGTGTCTGGGAGTCTCTCAAGACCAGTGGACGCTGGGTGGACGGTCACTCACGAGCGCAAGCGGACGTTGGAGAGGCTACACCTTTTTCCGTGTTGCTCAACCTGGTGAGGATCCGTCTCGGGCTATAACCTGGACAACGGCGTGGGAGGCGCAGCATCTAAACTTGCTGGCGGGGCAGGTGGCGTTTCTTTGGCGGCAGCGTGCCCTTGGAAGAAAGGGGAACCTCTCAGGAACGATACGTCCGATGCACCCAAACTGTCCATACTTAAGACTTGCGCCGACAGGCAACCACTGTTTCTTTTTTTTTGGTGAGGTCCTGAGTGTAAGGAACTCAGCAAGAAAATTATGAACATAGGTTGGGGTGTTCATGCAACATGTGCAGAAAAAGCAATCAGAAACTGATTGCGCAGACATCGGAAAGCAAAGCGTAGACAGGAAAATAGTGAGCAAAAAGCAAAATATTGTGAAACGCCTCCCGACACGACATGTGACATATCCTGGTGGGAAGTTAAAAAAAACTGTTTCAGGAAACATCAAGACCAAAAGCTAACCCAAGACAGCAAAAGCAGCAGCGCACTCTTTTGCAGTTTGGTTAGCTTTTCCTTCCATGGTCAAAGTTGAGTTCAAATGGTGTCAGACTGGGATGGTACCCAAAACCGCCACCGAAACCAGTCGACGTAGAATGAGCCATGGAGGAAAGCCGACACCGGGCACCCTGAAGGAAGACGGGTCCATCAATGTCGTAGTACACTAGTGGTGAAAAGAAAGGCAAAAGATCAACGACTGAACCATCCTGTGCTCGCAGGGATTTCAGGGCCCATGGCCCATGGCACCTGTCCCCGGTCACACCTAAGACGGTTGAGCAGTCGGGTAAGGTTCTTGAAAAACCAAATTCATCAGCAAAGGGGCTAATGTTCGGAGGCGTTTCGCCGGATTGAATCCAGTCGGATGAGGGTGAGTCAGTTCATCCGCCCAAGTATTCAAATCCTTCTTCACATGAGAGGGGGCCAGTTGGCAGCCTCCTTGGTGCGCAGAAAGGACGAGCTGCATATGGAGTTGGAACCACCCACACTTCCTCCTTCGAAACCGGATCTTTGTCGCTGAGCCAACCCCCAACATAGCTGCCCTCATCGCCAGCACTGGCATCACTGGCACCCCGCCAGGGAGATGGGGGGCAAAAAGGGGTAGGTTGGAGGAAGTGCCCACTCAGGAGGGTTGCAATCAGCTTGGCAAAAGTCTGGACCAGTCGGTTTGGTCTGCCGCTCGACTTGACTGCTCCCTTCCATTGCCACAATGGAGAAGGGTTTGACCAAGGGGCCGGTCGATGTAGCCCATTGTCGTCTGCCCATAGCACTGTCCAGATCCTTGGATGTGAAGATGTCCCTCTTGGCAATTCTGTGGAGGATATCCAATACCTTGTTGTGTTTCTGCTTGGCCATTTGGATCATCGGCCCCGCTGGTTGGATAACGAATGCCAACCAGGTGTTGATGGGCCCCAGAAGAGTCTTCTTCCAGCTCAGGGGAGTGCGTAAGGCAAGCAGGGTCGCCAGGAGGGCACATGTATGTAGTGGAGCGACTGTTGACCGAAGGAGCCAACACAAAGGCCCAGCCCACCGTAGGAAACAGGTAGTGCATGATCCAGAAGTAGGGCCTAAAGCTGGGCTGACGCCATGCCATGTGTCCCAACTTTGTTGGCCCACCAGTCCCCGTCAATCTGAGCAATCTGGTACTTCCAGTCAGTCGAGTCGATCTTGATTCGCCGGTGGGCCTTGGTCACGTCAGCTTTCAGAATCGACCAATGGGTGTCCTTGGTTGGCCACGGCCAGGAGAAGGTAGTTGTCGCAAAGGCCGTTAGGGAACGGTGAGGAAGGATTGATGCTTTTCAAAACAAACTATATTCCTAAACCATCATTTTGCATGTCATGAGGCTACCAGGAATGTTTGCAAGGGCAATATCCTGAATCCTAGGATGGAAGCATCATTGGTTTCCAACATCATCTACATGCATACTTCGGCATGGCAAAAACATGCAAAAACATGGGCCTAGCTACTTGGGCTAAAATTAGAGGAAAGGCTGTCCAAAGACTCAGTAGGTGGATCGTGTGAGTGGTGCTTGTGAAGGGGGAGGCCGGTGGGGAAGTGGGTGATTTGGGTGGTGCGCGGCGATGCGGTCAGATTGCGCCACAAGGCTCTGCAGAGAGGCTGCGTTGCGTCGACGCAAAGTCGTAATACGTAAATGCTCGCATGTGCACCAGCTATTATGATCCCACAGCTGCGCGCAATGTGTCAGGGTCACAGGCCTGCACGCGTTGCGTCGAAGCTGCAGTGACCAACCCCCTTATAACTGGAGGGGTGCAGCTGGTACTGCCAGGGATGGACGTCACGCTATGGTGGGTGGCTGATGGGAAGGGTGCATAAATAGCTGTGTAGTGGTGCCCCACGACGCGGTACGGTGGCCACGCTAGGACAAAAGGCTGAAGCGAATGGTGCTCCACGATGCGAGAGGTTTCTCCACGGCTTTGCAGAGAGGCAGTGTTGCATCGATGCTCGTTGCTGTCGAGCAATAATGGTCTATGAACGCAGCACGTGCTGCGCCAGGCTGCCGGGTGCGCACGCGCGGCATCGAAGCCGCATTGCCCAAGCTCATTGCAGGGGTCTTGCTGCATTGCGCAACCTCATGGCCAGGGTCGTACAGCTGTGATTGCTAGCGCATGATTTCACCTTATGATGTGATGGTGCGTCGAGAATGCGGGTGGGGGTGTTAGACATTGATCTACCATTGTTTGGTCCCGAGCCTCGAGCGGGCTCTCAAGCTAGTCCCTTTTCTTCGCAAAGCAAACTCAAGGTAGTCCTTACCAGGCTACCTTTCGTGATCTGCAGGGGAGTAGATTTCGGGTCGATCCCTCGGCCCCCCCCAAAAGCTTGCTGACGTCTTGACCCCGCGGCCAGATTAACTTGCGAAGGGTGAGGGAGACTCTTTTATTGATGTTCCAAGGCATTGGTTGGGAGTGGTCGAACTGGGGTGAATGTGTATCATTTTTGGGTAAACATGCCAGTCTCTCATAGGTTGTCTCTGGTAGTGTAGCTCTTTTTGCACCCGGAGCCATCTCGGTGGTTCTGTGGTACCCACCGCGCCGTCATCGCCACGGACCACTCCTGGGGACAGCTTCTCCCAGCAGGTAGCAGCAAGCCGCAGCCCTTGGAGCGTGCTGAGGTGGAGACGAACAAGGCCACACGAACGAATCAACTTGAGGTGGTTGAACGTGGAGCGAAACGATTTGGACTCTCTCCCTAGTGTCTCTGACAAAATATGTGTGCGTTTTTTTCCTATCGTATTTTTGTGATTCAACAGAAAGTTCAACAATTATGCAAGCTTAACCGAAGAACAACTGCCAGCTCAACACCAAAGCACTCCAAGCCATCTTACAACACTACCAAATGACTGTTCAGCGTCGGGATTTGCTAAGTGCTTGCGTCGTGTGCCCAAATCAAAACTTACACGTTATATAGCATTTGCCATGCTATTATTTGACCTGATCCCAAGCCAAGTGGCCATCGAGACATGCCCATTTAAAGGCCCCAAAGTGGTGCTACCCAGCAACATTCCGGCCTTCCTTGGATTGCAGCGAGCTCGTTGATCTATGGGAGGAATAATAAAGGGCTGAAGTCAGCAGGGTCCATGCTTTTTCATTCCTTGTTTGGGGCACACGACAACATGCAACAAACTACCCAGTCATGTGGGTCACGCTTGCCGTTTCGATGGAGCACTTAAACATAGAGTCTGATGTCCCAAACCCTCAGGAGATGTGCAGGCCACAATCTTGAACAGAAAAACACAAAGGACTCCTCTAGTGGAAATGGGAAGAAGATGGAAGAAGGTTAAGTATCTTAACTAAATATATATAACACGATATAACAAGTATATATACTATAAGAAGTACAGTAGGGTCTGACTTCAAATCCACCAAAACACCTTGAAACCACCATGTTTTTGTTCCTCGTCCCACCAAGCTTCACCACCAGCTCCCCGCGGAGGAATGAGACATCCCCCGGAGGCCCAGCGAGCTCCAGCGCGGCTTTAGCGTTGAGGAGTCCAGCGTCGAAGAGCTCGGCCAAATGGGTGGCGCTGTACTTCCTCGGGGGGTCGTCAGATGGGAAGGGACCGGAGGTACCAGGTGTTTGGCACAAAAAAACATGGCAAAGACCTGCGGAACACTGAAGTGTTAAAAGCTACGACTGGGTGGGTCATGTTCAACAGGTGCCAAAACACAGGCACATACACTCACACTAACACGTTGAGCTTGACCTGCTACACCGCGGAAGCACTGCGGCGACGTTTGTTTCACCAACTCACCAAGTTTCAAGCTTGTCTTCAGTGACCTCACAGGGGGAAAACGGAGGTCACTGTAGTTCCCAGTGTCATCTGATGTCATCTGCGATGTAAACTCATGTAGAATGTTGATTGGTAAGATTCCCTCATTTGGCTTGTGTAATGGCTTTGTTAATCAATCTTCTACATTATACCTCTCTAGTGAAGACATTATGGAAGATCTTTTCCAAACTTGAATCTGTCCGTGACCGTGTGAACATCCGTTGTTTCTTTCTTAGTCTACAGTACGCAGCTGAGCTCACTATCAGCAACTTGCCATTGTCCTTTCTACTCGAGCAGCGTTTTGCGCATGTTCCGTTGACCGTCAGAAACCCGGCAACAAAACAACTCACAGTCGCTGGGCTTGGTTGTTTTGGCCCCATGAAGTAGAAAGCGCCACGACAAAGAAACAGGTGATTGATATGAGATTTGAGCCAAGCAACAAGCAACCCGTGGGCTGATGAGGATGATAATAATTACTATGATGAATATCTATGGGCTCAAAATTCTGGATCGGAATCCATATGGGGGACGCATATCCCTCACACTCCGTGTAAGGAATATTTGCTAACATTCCAATGTTGGTCCCACGAGCTTACATTCAAATGTTAGCTCCAGGAGCTTACGTTTGTTAAACCATGGTGTCCCGGCCTTTTTTAATCGATTTTTTGTGATGGAGGACACGTCGCACATTTGGAATGTTTAGGGTTTGGTTTGGCACATCTGGGCCGTCAGCGCTTGCGATGGGATGTGTCTCCTTCGCCTCTTTACTTGTGCTCTTGCCGAGTGGCGTCGCATGAAGCGCGCGTTCAACATTTGGAGAGATACATGATCAGCTGCTCAGGGTGCTCCAAACTCTGGAAATTGATGGGGGCTTACACAACAATGATGCCCCGTAACATTGTTCCACAACCTTGGCACACGCCAATTAATGGACTTACAGACCTGCCACATGCATAAGAAATCTTGACTGGATCTCGCATGAGGCTCGTGTTCTTGCTGCTGGGTGTTGCAATGCGGCGCGCCACAACCCTGTGGGGGGAACTTAGCAAGAGATATAGTTTTACATGTTTTGTTAAACCCTCTTCATAGAGCCCGTTTGAAGTAATTTCCCATCGACCTCGTCATCGACTACCAAGTCATGGAGCTCATGACCAGAGACTGGCGCCCCATGTGTTTGCTCAAGGCACTCCATAGTGAAATTGATAGGTTGCTCGGCTCAATCCAAGATTTACTGGGTTGTGAGATTTGATCTACCAAAACCCTGAGATGGTGCAATGACAAGTTTTGCTGGTCCATGCACTTCTTGGCCTGCTCGTTCGCAGCTCTTTTTCTTATTGGGAGTGGCCCTGCACGCGCTTCTGGTGTTGGCTAGAACCTTCATATGGTGGAGACCTAAGATTGGCCTCACGTGCTCCCTGTGTACCCTGTACATGTGCTTTTTCACGTCTGCAGGCGAGTGTGATGATGCTCGAGGACACGTGCGTGCATCCATAGACGTGTAGACTTTTCGACTGATGGCAGGATGTGACCGAACAGTATTTGATCAAGGGAGATGTGTTGAGCAAGATCCAAAACGATTCCAGTCGATCCCTGTTGACGCTTGATGGCTGTGACCCAGCCAGTGCAAAAGCATTCGAGGACAGTTATCAAGTTGGTCTTGCCTTGCACGCATGCACATTCCAAACTCTTAGCGCAAAGCATGCTCCTTTCAGGACTGATGTTGTCATCCAACTAGTCGCCACGTTTGCCAGCGAACCCCGGCTCAAGGATGAAGTGTGTTTGTGCTCTGCCAGTAAGGAGAAGCAACCACTGTTTGTGCAGACTTCAGACTTCATGGCACAATTGTGACGTCTGCTGGCACAAGTGACGTCTGCAGGCTGGTACAAGTGACGTCCGCCGAGCCCAAACGTGGACTTTTCAAGGACCCTTTGGGTCGTTTCCAAAGGAATGAAGAATGACACTCCAGCTCCCATGAGGCGCAGATGCCCGAACAGAGCTTCGAAACCCGGGCATGAAGGAACAATGGCCGGAGTGTGACCAGAGCAAGTTTGAGGGAAACATGTCACAATGACTTTGGGGTGGTAGTGGGGAACGTTCGCATGCAGGTGATCGGACATTCCAAGATTTGAATGTGCACCAAATCAGGCTACATTGGGATGATATGACCCATGTACTCAAAACATGATGACGCGGTCAAATGTGAGGTATATTTGCATGCTTTGGAGCGATTGGGTATGGATCCTGTCCCCTACCGTTCACACTCCCCCAAAAACTCGAACCCTGGCATTGCATCCCTTTTTTTCGATCTCGGTGAGGCCTCAGCTTCTCCATTTGCAGCTGCATGGATGGATATCTTCCAGGCCCACCGCTGATGTCCAGATCTCGTAAGGACCAATCTGCATCCAAGCGCCAGGTGCTCATCTGAGTAAGACTTTGACCCGAGAGCTGTAGGAGTCCCTGGGTGCAGATGCTGGAATATCCACATGCAGCTTCCTCAAGTGGCCGAGTGATGGCTATGTGCGGGAAGACGCTCCAGCAGGAGCTTCACACCCAGCAATGGACTTGGGTCGTCAAGTGATAGTGTGTGAAGTATATCTCCATGACTTATAAGTAACAGGTTCGGTTGCAGGTTCTGTTAGTATCTTCTGATGGGTGAACGGTTGGAAAACCTCCTCCAGCGGATAGCTCGCGACCGACGTTTGACGCGGCTCAAAGAGCGGTCACGGCTTGGGTTCATCGAGCCACTTGGGTAGAGACCCCTGGTCTCATAGAAACCCCTAAGCTGCGGTCATTACCAACACAAGAGAGCGGTCACTTAGGTAGGGTTGCTTCACTGCCGAGAGCTGCTTCATCGGCCACATGAAGTTCGACATCGACATCTGCCGTGTGCAAAGCTTCGACCAGCTTCTTGGACTGCGCCACCACCCCGTAACAGTGGGTGATGGTAAGGAAAAGGCATGCAGTTAAGATATATAGAGCTAGTCTGCTAGCCACATATTGATGATGCAATTGTCACATGTTCTCTAGGGCCCCCTAATGACATAGAAACGATTGCCACCACGCGTCATTCAAACAGGATTCCCTTTTAAAGCTCCATTTCACGTCTAGTGGGTCACTCATCCGCATCTTCCGTATGGAAAAAAACCGGCCAAACATCCTCATCCTTCCGCCGTTCAGCTTCCTCACGCGTCTTCCGCGAGAACTGCAGGTCCACTTGGCCGTCGCCCGGAAGCGCTGAACGGCGGCTGAAGGGCCCGGCCAGCACGGCGCCGCCGAACGGCCCGGCGAACGCCGAGAGCACCGCGCTGACGGGGGACGTCAGGCGCAAGGCGAATTCGCGCGCGGAGCCTCGGGCCGGACCGTGGGAAGCGGAGACTGGATGAACTACTCTGAGGGGGGGGGGTGGGGGGGGGGTGGGGGTTCCTCTGGGGGGTGGGGGGGGGGGTCCGGGTTGGTTGGTTGGCGGTGCGTGTGTGTGATGTGTGATGTTCCATCTGTATAGTTCTACTTGCTTCAGTTGGTTTCTGGTTGGATGGCTAACTAAGTAGTGGCGATGCTTCCGGAACTCAGGCAGCGAAAGCTTCCGGTGACTTTGGAGCTGAGCTCCAGCCGTGAGATGTCTTGCATCGAAAGCTCCCTTCTATCGAAAGCTCCCTTCAAATTGGTCCAACAAAAGGTTGAACATGATAAAAGGCTCCAAGACTTCCGAAAGAAGCAATCAACACCACTGCGCTTTAAAAAAAGCTGTATATACATGTAGCTGTATAAAAGTGGCTTTTGCTATTCCCAAGTGGCCCTATGTGTACGGCTGCTGGCCCGAACAACTCCCAATAGTTGTTCCGCGGATCAACCACATCCCACAACATCTGAGGTTTTGTCGCTGTCCGACGGCGGCGTTCTGGATCTCTGGTCTATCATCGCAATGGGGGATAATGGTTAAAGGAGCTTAAACAGAATTCACAGGTTTGAAGTCGCGATTTCGCTGGCTCCTTCAATATACTCCCTGAAATCATTATGGACGTGGACACCTGTTTGGAGAAGTTTCATGGTCATCCAAGGAGACATGCCATCCACTATGTTCCACTTCCATGAATTACAAGGAGGGTAAGTGGTTTTTAGACACCTTTAGCATGTACTGAACCCCCCTAAGTCCTAATCAATTCCTAGAGAAACATAGAAAAGCCACCTCTGTGAACTCATCCAACTCCCACTAAGCCGGGCGCGGTGCTTACGCATCACGCAGTGCTTACGCGTCTACGCGTTGTTGTGGCTGAGTCGCTGGGGGTGGTGGTCATGGATGCTGTGGCATCCACCGGGGAGCCCAAAAGGCCCGGCTGCACCACCTTCACATCCCCGCACAAGCGCCCTGCGGAAGGCGGAACGTGGACGAACGCGGGAGCGCGCGTTCCGCAGACCCGCGCTGTCCGCAGCGCGGTGGAAGGCGTGCCTTTGGGTTGATCAAGTTTGAAGGTAGACCTGACTTGCCAATTGACCCGCATTCTATACAAGAGTTCTAGAGAAATGAATTGTTTCACAGGTTCCCATCTTGATTGGATCTCTTATCAAAATTCTATTTCAAGGGCACTACAGTTACCACCGGCAAAGACCTTTTGCTGTACACCCCCGAGTCAGTCAAGACCTTAAGCGACCATTTTCAGCTCCCAGCGAGCCTGGATTTCTTGAAGTCCAGGCTGATTAGGATAGGGTTTCCTCACTTCTATAAATAAGTCAGTGATCAATTATTCCTAATGACATCTACAAGTAATGACCAATATCAATATTCGCTTCAATTAGGATTGGATGAACCCGATCTCCTTACTTTATTGACCAATTATTCATCTCGCTCGAATGTTGTGTGCCATATGTGTCAAAACCAATATGGTGGTTGCTGTCTCAGCTTTAGCTAAAGTGACCATACTTCCAGCTTATATTTGTACCTAACAAGGAGCTTCACGAGTTCCAATTTCATGTGCTTGTCATTGCTCAAGTAGAGGACTGATTCACATGTCCCTTGTTCTTGGGAACTTGCAAATTCATGCAGAAACCCCCGGTGCTCCCCGTGCTCCCACGAGCTCCCCGTGCTCTGCGCCTTCGCGATCCACATTGGCACCGATGGTGAACTGCCGACGCATCGCACCATGAAACCCCAGCCGACCGCGGCCGGCGCGTGCTCCCGGACTGGACCGGCGCGGTGCGTGGGTGGGATGGGAGGTGGTTGGTTTTGCACCTGCACTGGCTGTGTCAACTTGGGGTTCAAAGAGATCCAGCGCCAACAGGCAGGGCTCGCTGGTGGGAAGAGGTGAAGGTGCCGTTGCAACCAGGCGGCGGGTGGTTCAGAGGATGAATGGAGATGGCACTTAAAGACCCCCCCGCTTTCGATGTCTTAGACCAATGGGGTTTCCAAGTCAAAGACTATACAAAGAATGGTCTGATGAGTTTGGGTGACCCGAGTTCAGGACTTTCCTGCAACCTTCAGTCGGTCAACATGTCGTCGAACTGGACTTCCAGGGTATAAGTTGCAGCACCAAAACTTGGGAAGCGAACGGTCATGGAATCTTCGCCCGAGCTGAGCGCTGTTGTTGTTCTCTTTGCAGCTCCCTCGACTGCATGGAGTGATTTGGATCATTATGCCTGAGGTTCTGAGCCAAGCAGCTGTTTGATATCATATACATGCAATTACATTGGATGTCTTGGAATGTCTTGGAGGACTATACTATACTATATACTTTGTATGGTTTACATTCTTTTGCACATGCACAGACGAGTCCTCTGAGGTCTGCTGCAGCTTGCTGACTGTCTTTGGACCTTTTTGGACCTGTTGTGACGACGGACGTGACAAGCTTCGCCTTGGGTAGCGTCTTCTCACTTCGCGGACCCGAAAAGCACCAAGGACCCGAAGGGTATCGAAGATGGTCAGTGTTGGAAACACGCACATATATTACGGTTGCTACAGATAAAGTATACGGATTTTAAACTAGCCGAACAGGTATTTTAGTGTACCTCCGTGAAGGGTCTTCCGGGCCCGCCCAGCCATTAAAACATGCGGAAAAGACATAGCTTCATCTTTCCATGACCTTCTGGTCTATCGATCCGACGCGTGTCCTCCGCCGCACCGGCCTTTTTGGGGCGACGCGTGCCGCGGCCTTCGTCGCACCGCTGTGACGGGCGCTCAGAGTTTGGGGCGACCCTCTCGCGAGAATTGCCCCCTGGCGTCTCCAACCGGACGAGACGACCGAGCAACGGGCGGAGTGACCGGGTTTGTCTCCGCAGTAACGGTACGTGTCATGCTGCATGCTATATATTGGGTGTTTGGATTCCTTTAAGTTGGAGGCCATTGCTTCTAGGGTGGAGGCCATCGCTAGGTGGGAGGACAATTCGGTTGGCCTCTCTCTCGCTCTCTTAGCTTGAGTCCTATTGAGTCCTATGATATCCTCCTGGTACCACATGGCTCCAGCCCATCTGGGCCCAACGAATAGCCAGGGGTCCTGTGACAGAACGACCGCGTGGCACCACATCACGCTGGAAGCACTGCTGGCAGATGCACACGCACCCAGGTGATATCACAAATAACATGTTGGGTCTATCCTACTATTACCGGTAACTGTGGATGATGATGGTTAGTAAAGGCCTTGTTCAAACTAGTGAAAATTGTTTACTGACTGTTACAGGTATTAGGACAAACCCAAACAATATATGCATGAATACATACCCCACATCAAGGCTTGACTCTGCGGCGCCTGTCAAATTGCCTCTCGAAGATCTCCGCGTTCTCTCGGGCGAAGGCCTAAAGGCAGGCTGGCAGAACAGGCAAAGCAGAAAACGCTGTTTACATCTGTTTACACAGTTTCCAAGCAGTGCCAGGGATGCTTGAAGGTAGACTATCGAGCACTTGAAACACCCTATCAATCCCTATCTCATAATAAAAAAAGCGCTGATACAAAGGATCTGCTTTCTGGTTCAATTGATAGCTGCCACCATCTCGTCAACGTCCATCTTGCCATTCACAGCAATCGATCAACTCTGCGCCTCATACCGTTGCTTGGAGGCGGCATAGTTCCGGTTGAAGCTGATCGGCAGTACGATGAAGAACACCGCCAAGCCTGCTTGAGTGAGTGTACAACGTCCGTCACGCCCGCGCGGGTTGGGTGCGGGTTGGGCGATTGCTTCTGGCTTCTTCTTCCCTTCTGTGCACAGAAGGAATGACTTGGATAGAATGAGACTTGAGACCTCTACCTGGACCCTCCAACAGGTCACCACCCGGCACTTTTGGGTCTCCAAAAGCCACCAGAGGAGACCTGTAGAGTCGGGTGCTGGTAGAGATTCTGCATATATTCATGATCCGTCTTGAGATGCAGCTGGGATTCGGACGCATCTGCGACCGGACCCAGACGTGGACTGTTTGAGGATGAAGGATGAAGAACAGTGGTTCCACGGTTTGTTCCTCGAAGGAGTAGTGTCAACTTGTCAACAACTAGACTAGACTATCATAAAACTGTTCTCCAGTCACAGTGAATACAACACTTTGTTGTCAGATACACATCTATAATGGAGGCGTTTGTTGATGCAGCTGACGTTCATCCTGTATGCGTCTTTCAGAGTTTGTTCCTGTCAGCAGTGAACATGGATGTTCACGAGACACTATGGGGCCCATGCCATGGGGCCCAACCATACCCTTTCAACACCCACCATGGGGGGACCAACACCCAGTGTTGCTCAGCACCAAGCCTTTGGTGCTTGGGGGGCGTGGTGGTTTTAATTCTGTCTTCTTGACCCTCCACTTCTCATTTGCCTCATTACACTCCCGAAAACTAACATAGACCCTGACGTCCTGGCTCCCTGGAGAGTGTATTTCCTCTACCAACCAGTGGTTTTCAGGGTCCATGAAAGTCTTCCAGGATGTAACCTCAAATCCGTTGAAACTCGACGACCCCGTGGGCCATCGTGCGCCCTGTGGTGGTGCTTGGGAGCCCATCTTCGTTGCAGCTGGACTGTCACCTGGACTTGGGACCCCGCCTGTCATCACGGCACCCGCGATGTAGGGCGCCATGTTGGGGCCCTGAGTGGATGCGCCGTGTGGACACGTGGTCGTGGTGGTCGTGGAGGAGGTGCGTTGCTTTTGGAAGGACCGGTCCATGCGGGTTGGCTTCGGTGGGTGGAGGTCACGTGGAGGCCAGATTTGCTTCAGTTGCTCAAACACTTTCAGCTGAAAGAGAGATGTCTCTTGGAAGATTGCTGTGCGATTCCCGCCAAACGCACACCCTGCGTTTGGCCAGACCTTGAGGACATGCCAGCTGCGGATGCTTTTGGCTACAAGAAACCGGATCGGGAGCCCAAGAATCCAAGGCTTCCTCCTTCCGGTGCCATCCGAGGTGCCCTGCCTTTGTACCCCGTTTCCTGGCGTGGTCGGATCGAAGATTCTCCAGCCTACTAGTGGCCCCCCCTGCACACCTGCTGAGTCTGTTCTAGATGTTTTTTTCAATGAGGCTGGCAAATCTCGCAAAGTTCACAGGCCTACAGATTGGGCTCGGCTCCTCATCTTCTCCGCTCGCTTTGGGGCACGTTTGATCTGCGCTCTCCTCGTTGCAGCTGAACATCTCTTTCCTCTGATGTGGTGCTGGGCCCCGGAATTTGATGTCAATGTCCTTGCATCCCTGTATCCTTTCTCATACACAAACACTGACCGCCGCTGACCCCAAGTTGGTGCAATGAAGGAAAGATGGATGGAATCATGGTCCACCAACGGATCCCGCAACCATAACGAACGTCCACTCCCCCGAAGGAGGGGTCAACCAGAAGTCATCCGCCGTCATCACCACAAAAGGGTCACCAGACATGGATCATCAACATCAGACCCATCAGACCCACCGGTCCCTGAAGGCTTGTTCCACCAAACCGGTCCCGGTCCAGCCCGACCCACGAGACGCCAAAGCAAGGGGAAGCCGGGTGGACGGAGCTCCGTAGCAGTGGGAATACTTGTTGCCCTTGAGGCGATACAGGGTCGGCGCCTGTGGCATGGCTACGGCTATCGCGCCAAGGGAGCCGAGCTCAGCCATTCGAGTCAGTCTGACTGGTAGAATCCTTTGGCACATGGCACTGAAGGGTTCCGTCCAAGGTCCAGTCGTGACTCTTCGCAACAAAAGTTGACCTTCCAACGGACCTGAAACGCCAGTTCCGCGCTCTCGTAACACCACGACTCTTTCAATGCCTCACATCGGCAAGGACTAACTACTTCATACTACTTCCACTTCCTGCGGTGTAGTGATGAGTCTTCCACAAAGATACTTCACCAACATAGTCTTCCGATCCTCCAAGAGTCTCTTCACGGGTGTGTACCTCTATATAAATAGGGAGACCTCCCATGCAACAACCCTCCTGAAATAAGCCCATTGGTTGGGTGTCTCTCTATTCAAATACACACCCGTGTGGACTTTCACACCACCTCCCTCCTGGCCTCCCCCAAAAAAGCCGTCACCTATCCTATCGCCCTTTTCCGATCTGTTCTTCAAACACCACGCGAACCCCCCGCCCCCATCGATCGTAGTCGTAGCAGCCACCTCCCCCTCGAAGAACTTCTGCTGAATGAAGCCATGCACACCTCGCGGGGCAGCACGACGGTGAGGCCGAGGCCCAAGAGAAAACGCCGGGAGGGGGACATGATGGCCCTGCAGGTCAGTTGGACCCTCATTTTACTGGAGTTGGTCATACAAAAACACTACTCAAGGAGGTAAAGGACCAGGTTTTACTGGGTCTTTGGACCTTCCTGGGGGGTTTCACTGCCGATAGACTTGGCCGTACATCGAGTTGGCAGACTTATGAAACAATCATGTTCTTCAACCCGCCACCACACATGTTCCGAAACAGGAACCCATGGGAAGCAGCCAGGGACCCATGGGGCAAGCAGCGCAAGCGGCGCAAGCCCGCTTAATGTACACATATGCATATTGGAAACCTGTTTTCAACCAACCTATCCCCATTGAGCACCAGTCAGCACCGGCCTTTGACAGCGTTCCAGGAACTTTGGACGGCCTGGCCAGTGCAAAGGCAGCGTGCGCATCTGAGAATTCGAAGTGGTTCGCCACTGACCAAAGTCTTAGACCTGCAAAGGCACTCACACTTCCTGGAACTAACATGGAAGTGGATGGCACCCCCTGTTTGGAGAGGAAGATGGTCTTCCTAGGCACCATTCAATTCAAGGCGCTGAGCA